CAGTCCCCGTACATTAATACACTCCCATGATACACAACAGCTACATATCTCTAGGTGCTGTGTGTTTAGACACTGAGGGGGAAACCTAATACAAACAACTGAAAAAAAAAGATGCCTGGAAAGATGCTGGTGTGAAGCCGCACAGGCGTTCTTAATGAATGCAAAATGAGGATAAATATACATTTTCTTAAAAGGAAGCCAACATCCTCCCTTCCTGTCAGGCCCCCGTTAAATACAAGGATAAAAATACTCCCACAGCACAGCACCGGCTCAGAGATAGCTATTAATTATGACATCTCCTGGTTGCAAGCAGACCCACTTGAGAGATCTGACTTAGGCCTGGTCCAGCAGCTGCCACTCTTCACTGTGGAGGCAGCAGCTTCTCGTGGCAGCTAACAGTGGGGCAATTACACAGCCCAGATGAGATGAAGCAGCTCAAGAGCACTCAGTCTGCCATTATTCCTATAAGCTAACACATTTTGTATTATTCCTGTTTTCTTCCATCCCTTTCACTCTCCTCACTCACTCACTCGCTCGCTCGCTCACACTCAGACTCACTCACTCGCTCGCTCGCTCGCTCACACTCACTTTCTCTCCTCTGTATATTAATAAGGAGGTGGTAGAAGTTCTAGTTAAATATTCCCACTATAAAAACATTGTCTGTTTTTTTTTCCAGCCTCCCTCAGGGGTCAACGCATTCTCCTGGAGTTGCCAGGATTCATTTCTGCTCTGTTAATGATGCAATTCCAAAGCAATTCTCTGCATCTAGTGAAGATGCTGCACCTTGGACCCTCGCAGGGAGTACACAGATGAAGCTGAGAACGGCAGGGTCAAGTAGCATTACCTGCATATCAGTGGTTAGTCCAGAATACCACCCTTTTTATGCTGCTAAATTCAAAACAAAGGTGACTTCTGTGATTTTTCTTCTGCCGGTCTCACCAGTAGAATCCTCCTGGGAAAACCATGTTCTTACCTAATGATGGTCACTTTAATTATAGGCTTATCTGCCCCAGCAAATAAAAAAAAAAATCAATAAGGACTAAACTAGTAAAGGGCACGGATTCTCTTTTAACTCTACAGGCTTTTATCAGCTGTTGGGGGAGGCTTAGATCTGTGTTTTCTTTTCTTTTTTTTCGGTGCCGTTAAAACCACCAGCAAACATCTGTCTATCAGGACCTGTCATGCCAAGAGCTTTTATATAAAGCACGATGGAGCGAAGGGTCTGCAGCGTGAGTGCTGACAT